ACCTGGCTGTATAGTGTGGAGCTTCTAGCCATTCCCTCTGACATGTAGCACTGATCAGTGCCAGGCTGCTGGCTCCATCATGTGGAGCTGCTTTCCACCCCCCCAAAGGTGCATGGCTTGGGGCAGAGAACCTGGGAACTGCATGCGAGCCCTACATGATGAAGCCAGGCAAACCCTGTGCCGCTGCTGCCCTCCCCCCCAGCCTAGGCTCTGTGCTTCTGCCCCACCCTAGGTTCCATGGTATTGTCATGGGCCTTGCACTCCCATCCAGTTGCTGCTTTGCTCCTGCTTGCCACTGCTGCCACTCTTCCCCTGCCACTGCCAAAGGTTAGAGCAAAGCATGCGCTGCCACCACAGGAGTGAATGGAGTTCATCCCCAAGCAAGCACAGTGGGGTGGGCTGGGCTGGATACAATGAATTAGTAGGCACCCGCCTGTGGGCCAGATGAAATTACCTGGCGGGCCAGATTTTATCGCCGCTGCCTTATTTGGAGCTCTCCATTTTTAAATTTAAAAAAAAAAAAAAAAGGAAAAATGAACTAGGAAAGGAGTTGAGTTGCCTTTCATTGTAAATGAAAATATTTAGATGTCTGTCACTAGAGCAGCAGCATTGGTTTGCTTCATTTTAAAGTTTAGTTACTCCATGAATGTACTTAAATTATTAACTATCTTCTTCCACTAAACCTGGCTTGCTGAGTGAGTTTCAGTTTGAATTCTCCTGTTGGGCAGCAGGCTATGTAACATTCAAGTGCCCAACAGCAAGAGCATGTGAAACCACGGGGAGTGTTTGTTAAACACATTAATTCTGCCTCAGGAAACGAAGTGGAAAAGTTGTCCAGTGGAAATGTTACAAATATTCTGTATACATGGGTCTCCTTATCAAAATGTGTAACAAAGATAACTTTTGAGGTTGTGGGTGCTGATGGTGGTAGTAGTTGTGTGGGATTTTTCCCTCCCTTTTTTCCTTTCTTTTACTTCTAGAGTTAATACTCATGGCTGCACCTGTCACTTTTCCTACATTGCAAGATGGATTACAAGCCTTGCAAGTAGGTTGTTTCAAACTCTCCACTAGTAGAAAATCTTTTGCCTGATATTAACACCCACAGAAAATGTCCTTCACTGTGGAATCTAACATGTAAATAAATTCTTGGGCAACAGTTAAGAGACCCTGATTATGTCTTAAGCAGCTAACTAAAAAACCCAGTGCAGGGGAAGACTATATTTACACCCCCCCCACCCCCCGGAAAAAAAAGTTTCAGTAGAATGGTTTTATAACCTAGTGGTTACAGCTCCATTCAGGGATGTGGGAGATATGGTCTCAGTACTCCTAGGCAGACTTTGTAGACATGGTATATAGGACTAATATTGACCATGGTGACAACATCACTGATGGGCAACATGATGGGTGGAGTAATGCCACTGATGTCAGGAAAGGTTAAGAATTAATACAGAAGTCTTGTCATCAACTGACTAACTTCTGCATTGATCGGAGTTGAGGCTGATGTGGTTCTATATTGCTCCTGGGAAGTGTTGGGGGCAAGTGTATTTTGTAGGAGAGCTTAATTTTAGAACATGGTACACGTACATATAACCCACCAAATGAGAACTGATTTTGCCATACCTACTACCCTCAATTTTCTTATTTATAAAAAAAAAAAAAATGTTTTATTGAGGGGAAAAATGCCAAAATGGAAGAATTTACCAACTCAGAAGTAGAGTCCCTTCTTCTTTAATGAGCATACTTTAGCTCTGTGTTTTCCATGTTTTAAAGTAGAAATAAGTTAAAGTTTTAACTGCTATGCAACAAGCTGTGGTTGGCTTGCTTTAATTTGGGCAGGGTATTTGCCAGGTTACAGGGTACTTAGATACTCAATAAACACTTCCTCCACTTCATCTTCCTCTTGAATCTGAAACACTGCATTACTTTTACATTTGAATGCCCTTGTATTGAGCAGTTGTAATTCTGGTAGCTTTCTTTAAAAGGGGGCTGGGGCGTTAGGGGAAGGGGTTTAAACGTATAGAATGCTTGTGGACATTTTAAAAAAAACATTGAACTTTAAATGTAGTGTTCCCACACCTAGGCCAGCACATACCCAGAAAAGGCAGCATGTTAGTTGGATCTGACTAGTGCAATGTCTGTATAGATTGAGTGCTTTAGTGGAGTTTTTCTGGTGCTTTTAGCTAATAGCTGATTGAATTGGCTATTAGCTAAAAGTGCCAAAAAGTCCCACTGAAGTGCCTAATCTAAACACATGCTATGGAGTTGGGTAACGTGCTGGTGCTGCTTCTGATAAAGCACGTGTCTTGTTGTGTTTCGTTTTTAATGTCTGCAGGCAGCCTATTGTATATCTCAATTTGTAAATCCTCATCTCTTTATTTGACAGCTTCCCTTGTAAAGACGCCTACTTTGTCCACTACTGTGTGAACATCCATTAACTTTCTTTAATTTCGTTCAGGGGGCAGAAGCCATGGTTCTGGAGAGTGTTATGTTTGCCATTCTTGCAGAGAGAGCTCTTGGCCCAAAACTGTATGGGATCTTTCCACAAGGCCGACTAGAAGAATTCATTCCAGTAAGTCCCATTCATGGTTAGTCAGCACACTGTGTAGGATGCTGTAACTGATGTGTAGGGGAATCTGTGAAAGCAGGGAGGTAGCAAAAGGGGGTATTGGTAATTATCCATCACAGAGGACTTCTCAAGGACTTACCCATTCAGTCCTGTTTTCTGTGATTTTTGGTGACTTTTATTACAGTTGGTGGAAAAGCCCACTGTAATTCATGGGGAAAGGAAACTAGCAACCACCCTCAAGCTCTTGTTTGTATTGGTACCAAGAAGCTTGGTGCTGAAGGAGCCTGTCATTTTAAGTCAGAATGGGAAAGGGATCTGTGTTCCAAAAGCATAATTTAGTATCTTCTACATCTTTTTGACCAAGAATGTGAGCCTTTGCCTTGTGATCTGACACTTCCCTGGACTTACTTACCACCCAAAAGAGCAAAGGTTATAAGACAAGCCACTAAGGGATGATCTGAAATTTAAACTTTCCCAAACATGGTAGTTCTGAAATTGTTACCACTGTGTAATGCATACTCCTGTTTCAATATTGAATTCTATTATTTACACTTTTTTGTTAGCTGTTTTGTTTTTTTTCAAGTGTGCCTTGTTTTACAGAGCAGAAAGCTAGACACTGAAGAATTAAGCTTACCTGACATATCGGCTGAAATAGCTGAGAAAATGGCCAGATTTCATGGCATGAAAATGCCATTTAATAAAGAACCTAAGTGGCTTTTTGGGACAATGGAAAAGTAAGTCTTCTCATATAGCACTCTACTTGTTTGATGTAAATTGTAAAACGGGGAAATTGGTACCATATTAAACTACTTCTCTTTTTGGTAGGTACTTGAATCAAGTGCTAAAGATAAAATTTACCAAAGAATCCCGAATTAGAAAACTGAATAAACTCCTCAGTTACAATCTGCCCCAAGAAATTAAAAGCCTGAGGTAGGATTTGACTTTTGGCACTACTTAACTTAATATTAACTTACCACTGGCATCTAACATTTGCATTTGACAATAAAGTTGTACTAATACAATTTCCTGAACTTATTTCACTGGTTGGGGAATTACTGTGGTTCCTCTAGCCACAATATCTACCTGTTTTGTTTGGGGGGGGGGTTATATAATACTGAATATGCAGTTTTGCTTATCTGCATTTTGAGTTGGCTGCAGTGATACCCAACTTTGCCCTGCCCTTGTCTACAGAATATTTGGAAATCTGTATAGATTTGACTAAAAACTTTGAAACATGGGTTTTGTAGAACGTAACTTCTTATGTCTTAGTTGAAGAAAGCTAATTGACTGACTGGAAGCTTTCTTGGTCTTTATATTGTCCTCTCCTCTTTCTAGGTCTCTGCTGGAAGCCACTTCATCACCTGTTGTATTCTGCCACAATGACTGTCAAGAAGGTAGTGCTGTGTTTTTTTTGTCTTGTTGGTTTTTTTTTTTTAAGCTACGTTTAAAGACTGAACGTACTATGACAGGGCTGCTTTTTAGTTATTTTCTTATTCATTTTGGGTTATGTTTATTGGTGGCATAGCACAATGCAGGAAGGTAAGATTTGTATCCCTTTACAAGACAAGTAGCGAAACTAGCATTTAAAGCCACAGTTCTGAAAGATGGAGGAAGACTCATGGGGAATGGGAACTATCTAGTTCTAACTGGCTGAGTAATGGTTGGCATTCCACTTGACTTAATGGGCTGGAACATATAGGCTAGGGACAGACGGTCAAAAAGCCCTGAGCCTAAATTGATTCAATCTTTGCAGGTTAGTCTAACCTGGCTAGGTTAAATCACTTTGTAACTGCACAGACATGCAGGCACATGCCTGCAGTGGCTCAGGTTAGAAATTGGGGGGTGTTAGAGCAGCCCCTCCCTTCCCTTGCACAAGACTTAGCTGAGGGAGGGGGTGTGGCCAGGCCCCACAGGACACACTGGTTTAGCTCACCAGGGAATTGATAAGTGTTTATCACCCCATTAAGAAAACAACAGAGGGACATTACCAGCTACCTGTTGATTTGGCAGGGACCAGAGGGGGGAATTTCTACTTAGCAGGGAGTGGTGATGGGGAGCAAATGGATCATCTTAAACAGCTTTTCCAGGGAAGGACATTAAGCTACCTGTTAATTGGCTACAAAAAGCCTGTCTGCCTGTTGTCTCCCACAGCACTGACTGTAGCTGGCATGTTGTCTGCTAGCTAATGCTGTAGCATCTGCATAAGGCAGAGGGGAGGTGGGAATAATCCCTGCTTAGGAGGGGGAATCCAGGCAGACAGTGCTGTGTCTGGAAGTCTGTGCCAAGCTGCAACCAGGGAGCAGAGGGAGGGGCCATCCCTGCTGTGCAGCAGAGAGCCCAGTCCAGAGAGGATGCCAAAATGCTGGGGGGTCTCTGGTGTATTTTAAACCAGCAAGGGGTCTGGGATAGACATTGCAAAAACTGCTTTGACCCAAGTCCATTAAGTCTGATACCGCATTTAACCAGGTTTATCTCAAACCAGTTACAGCCATTTTGAAACTAGTTTATGTGCACTGAGCATCTGTTCTGTTACAGGTTTAAACCCGTTTCTCATCACTTAAACTGGTTTATGTGTAAATGTCTGTTCCTAGCCATAGTGTAGAGACAAACTATATTGCTTTCTACAAACTTTTTTTGAACAAAATCCATCCTCTTTCAGTAAACTCTTAAGGGCATCTTTACATGTGCTCTGGAGTTGGGGGGAGGGCACTTTTAGTTAGAGCAGCTCTGAGAGCTGCTAAAATTAAAGCGCTTGCAGCATCACATGCATTCAGTGTCCCACAATTCAAAATGACAGTGGGAGCACTTTAACACTCATTTAAAGAGTTAAAGTGCCCCTGCTGCCATTTTGAAGTGCGGGACACTGAATACACAAGACATGGTAGGTGCTGGAGTACACTAGTAGAGTCAAATTCAAGTCTGCTCTGGCACACTATAATTGCAACATGTCTGAGCAGAATCCCTGCATATCTACAGGCACACTAAAGTACTGGATTATGATGAAGGGTTGGATGAAGTAGGACAAAGAGCTTTTTACAACTAAACTATGTATTCTGATAAGGCATAGTGTATTTCTGCTTAAAGAGTTATGATCCTTCAGTCTTTTTTTCACAAAAGATTCTACTTAGAATATTTTGTCTCAACTTTTTTCCTGTCCCCAGGTAACGTTTTGCTTCTAGAAGGCAGAGAGGATTCTGAAAATCAAAAGCTGATGCTTATTGACTTTGAGTATAGCAGCTACAACTACAGGTAAACTGCTTGTCACAGACTTGTGTTTCAAGGAGCACTTAGTTCTGCTGTATAACCTGCAATGAATGCAAATGCTTTGCTGGCTATTAAGACACTCTTTTTCCAGTGAGTTGCTTTCCTTGCATCACATCCTGTTCTGCCACTGATATACACAGCCCTATATACTGGCAGTTTTGAGCGACCGGTTGGCAGTCTCTCAAATGCCTACATCTCTTCAGATGTCTGAAGGCAGTTTTTATTACAATTTAGTTGAAGTAGAATTTTAGCTTGTGACCATATCTAGAGGAACAAGTGCATCCTCAGAAATAAGCAAGTCACGTTAAAGTAATAGCTGAGTAATGTTACTTGAGAGTCTGCTTGACAGGGTTTTATCTTCTGTCTGTGACTGTTTTAAAGCAGTTTGGTGTCCTGCTGTCTCTAAATTTTCTTCTTGGGAATTTACTGACTTCTTTCTTCCTTCTTAAATAAGGTTGTTGCTGCAACTTTATTTTATCAGATCAATTTGCTTCCAGTTCTCTTGAGGCAACAGAACTCTTTCTTCCTCTCCCCCCCCCCCCCCCCCCCCCCAAGTATTTAAGAAAACCGAGACCTATTGACAATTCTGAATGTTACTTGGTTTGATGTGTGCTGCACACTATTTCAGTCTATATATGCTTATTTAGTAAATTTTAGAAACAAAGGCATGAGCATGGGTGTTCAGCCACATCCCCAGTGCTACAGTCCTTTTGTGACACCTTTTTTTTCTTTCTTCTCCCTGTTGTCTGCAGAGTACATCAAGTACAGATGCCACAAATATCAGTTATTGCATGGCTACCAAAAATGTTACCTGGCTTCACTTTTTTCTGATTTTAATTTTAGCAAGATCAGTGCCATTTTTGCCCAAGTAACACATTTAGCCCATTGCATTTAAGTTTGTAGCTTCTGCTAAACTCTCAAGATCAGGATTTTTTTAAATAAAACTTCAAGTGACAATAGAGTATCTTTTTCATTAAGTATAGAAGTGGATTTGTAGTTTTGTGAGCAAAATGACATGGCCATTAATTCTCAGGCAAGTTGTTCACTGATATTGTACACTTAGTGTTCTGAATTACTGAGAGGTATTGCTGTTTCATATTCAATACAAGCTTCTTTCCTACATTGAATTAAAGTTAGTGGTAAATTTTAGTGCATCTCCAGCTGAGAAGCCTTCTAACTTGCTCATGTTCCATGAAATGGGTAGGAACATCTACTGAGTTGCCAATTATATTTCTACTTGTAAAATGCACTGTTATGCCAACATACTTGGTGCCTCAGAAAATTAAAGCATTCTTTAGACTTTAACAGGACTAAGCAGTGTGTATGCAAATATTCAGAATATTTCTTGAAGAATTTTCCTTCTGATCTCTTAATTTTCAGAGGATTTGATATTGGAAACCACTTCTGTGAATGGATGTATGACTATACGTATGAAAAATACCCATTCTTCAAAGCCAGTTTTCTGAAGTATCCCACCAGGAAACAACAGGTAGGTGCTTGGACATGCTGTTAGTCCACCATTGATGTCTGCTAGCTCCAGACTGGATCTCTGCTTTTCCTTGAATCACTTTGGGTGATTACCCTATATCTTATGAACCAAAATCTGTGCCATCCTTTCAGTGGATAGGAAGACTGTCCATAACGTAGCTATATTCATCACTGACAGCATTTCCCAGTGAAATGCTTATTGTTCTCTGGTATGTATGAAGTGTCATGGTGTTACTGAGATAGCGGATTTGTTACTCTTTTCATAGACATTAGGGCTGGAAGGGACCTCGGAAGATCATCAAGTCCAGCCTCCTGCCCAAAGGGCAGGAAGTCAGCTGAGGTCATAGGATCCCAGCAAGATAAGCATCCAGTTTGCTCTTGAAGGTGTTCAGTGTAGGCACTTGAACTACCTCCGGTGGCAGGCTGTTCCAGACCTTGGGGGCTCGGACAGGAAAGAGATTCTTCCTTATGTCCAGCCTGAAACGGTCTTGTAGTAGTTTTTGACCATTCGACCTAGTTGTCATCCCTTGGGGCGCTCTGGTGAACAAACATTCCCCCAGATACTGGTGGTCACCCCTGATAAACTTGTAGGTGGCCATCAGATCACCCCTGAGCCTGCGCTTTTCCAGGCTAAAGAGCCCCAGGGCGCTCAGCCTGTCATCGTAGGGTCTGCTTCCCTGACCTCTGATCATGCGCGTGGCTCTTCTCTGGACTCTCTCAAGCTTCTCCACATCCTTTTTGAATTGTGGAGCCCAAAACTGGACACAGTACTCCAGCTGCGGCCTCACTAAGGCCGAGTACAGGGGGAGAATGACGTCCCGGGATTTGCTTGAGAAGCATCTATGGATGCAAGCCAGCGTTTTGGTCGCTTTACTAGCCGCCGCATCACATTGCAGGCTCATGTTCATAACATTTACATTTTGTTATCTCTAATGTGACTTGTTGTTTAACTGTTGTGTATGTATATAGGCTTATTATTGTTGGATCCCCTTTTGATACCCTACCTGTGGTTTGCTAGTATTTATTGTTTACCTGTCTTTACCTGTGGGTTATTTGGACTTACCTGTGTTTACCTGCTGCAGATCGGTTGATTATCTGTGCAGTGTTCGAGACCCCTGGTGGTGGTATAAGTTCTTAGTCACTAATTATAGAATATAGCATCACTTGTAAACTGTATATATTTATTAACATTAGATATTTTTTGTTTTTGGGTTTGTAAATATTTTATATAATGTAAAAATATTAATACATTTGTACATAGTTAAGTCATTTTTGTCCTGACCTGACTCTACAGAGAATAGAGGGATCTGAGCAATATTGCAGATCCCTCTCACAGCAGTCCTGCCTGGCAACCCATCCTTTCTATCTGGAGAAGGGAGCACATCCTTGGGTGCACCTGGGTTACTGTAGACCTCTCCTGCGGCAGTGCTGTGGTTCTCAAACTTGCTAGATTTGAAGCACCCCTTGTTAGATTCAAGGTACCCTCAGAAAATGCCATGTCCTACCATTCGCTCATTTTTTGAGTACAGAAAAATAGATCAATTTTTGTGTTGCAGACTTGGAAAGACAGAAGTCAAAATGCTTTTGAAATCTCTGGGTTTATCTTGCAACTCATGTGTAGGTGTTTGTATACCCAAAAGTGGTCATACTGCATGGCACCCTGCAGCACCCTTTCACGGCTCTAACAGTTTAGCTATGCTATTACTGTAAAGCATAAAGGCCTCATGATAAACAGTTGAGTGCTGATTCCTTTCAGGACAGTGTCTTATCATGAACACATACATAGGCACATATAAAGTAGCTGGTGCACTGTAATAGTTTAAGTCTCTCTGTAACACGGGGATGTTCAACTAGTGGCCTGCAATGTGTTTAACATGTGGCTTGCAGACCCTTAAAACTGCCTCTCTTACTGAGGCAGGGTAGGACCTTGAGATCATGCTGCAGCCTGTGTAGGTCACCGCATATGACCAGACGTGGCCCAGGAGCAGGGGGCTGCATGCCAGCAACATTGCTTGTGGTTAGTGAGTGTTGTGCACTACCAGCACAGCCCATGTGGTGGGGAAGGATCCCAGGGACCAATGTCACAGCATGGGACCTGTGCAGCGTACAGCCCCTAGCCACATCCAAGTTGGTAAAACCTGCTGTAACACACAGAGAGACTCGGTGTTTGCAAGAGCAATACAAAAAGACAGAGTTCTGCTTTTCACTGTAATGTTCGCTCTTCTTCCAATGGCCAGATTCATTACAATTGAGTGAAATTTTAGAATGTTCTCCTTTAGGCCAATCAATCAATCAATCAATCAATCAATAAATAAATAAATAAATATTTGGTTAGACTGAAACAATTCCCATATTGGTGTTTAATTACTCAGTTTTATTCCACCAATTTTTAAAGCCAATATAATGTTCTTTTTTTACCTTTTGAAATGATGGTTCATTTAAAAACTAAACAAAGTTTAATTATGGTTACAAAAAAGTAAAACTAAATCTTTCCTTTGGAGTTGAACAAAGTGTAAACTTGTAGAGGTCAGAGTTCCTTTGAGATCTCTCCCTGTGATCACTTGTATAGTTTTAAATAAACCTAGATGGCTCTGCCAATTCTAATACAACCACAACGCGAAGTTTGATTTCTT